GTCCCTACTGTCTTTAAAAAATCCATATTGACGCCTGTAGATATCGCGAGAAGATCTACAGCCGTAATAGCGGCCGTTCCGCTGCCCATTGTTGGTTTTGACGGTGCCGCGAAAAGATTTTCAGCTGCGAAATCCACCTTTCTGGCTCCCCAACTCGCCATGCCGAAGCGCAACGAAAAATATTCGGGGAATAGGTAAGAAGGATTGATTAAGGTGAATGCAATAATTAAAACGATGGAATAACCTTGATGGAATGTGGTGCCGCTTTTCGTGAAATAACCTAATCATAATTATTATTATTCATTGTCCTGATTTGGCGCCTTGAGGCCTATGCAGGTTTTATCGGAAGATATGTACTTTAAGTAGGATGACTCAACTTGACATATAGTATACTCACACTCAGATTTCATTTGCAGATACCACTCGAGGCTAATCCTTACGGCATATAACCTCTTGCGTGCATACCCACTGCAGGGAAAAGTGTGAAAAATCTGTGGCTATCCGAGTGTGCTTTCATCATCCCACAAATACAGTATCACCGCGAGAGAGAGTGGTGCGTGGGTCTGACTGGATTCGAACCAGCTTTCTCCTGTCTCGAATGGAGTAGGTATTCAAGCTGCCCAGTATCTACTTGGGAGAACGGTCCGGATGGTGTACCACTGCACCAATCAACCCAATTGTCAGTTGTTACTTGGTTGAAATAACGCTTCAGCCTCATGACTAGTAGTGCCGTTTCGTTCAGCTTCATTTCCCAATATGTTGGGTCAATTATTCAGATCTGAATAGGTGGACTAGGTGAAAACGATGGTTGATTATAACTTGACCCAATCCCTAATGATTGGGTTCTTGTTGGTAGACTGACTTACAGATATACTACTGCCTAAGGCATAAGAGGCGTATACTCTACAATATGTTACAGCTAAACTACATATACTATTAAATTAGGAGGCCTTCTATAGCTGTATAGCTGTAGAGAAGACAATAGAATTATCACAGTGGAAGGAGTCAGATAGAATGAGAAGCGATAATGTGCTATTTACATAACATGACAGACAATAACTACTAAGTACAGATTTCCTCCACGCGACTGATCTGCATGAGTAGCGTTGTTGACGCGACTCCTAAGCTTGACCATGACTGGCTCGGCAAGTTCCTACACCAACCAGACACACCTTGTCATTTAACATATACATAATTAAATGATAACAACACCATAGTATATCACACATTCTCCCGACTCATATTATTATTGTTCTATTCATAAATCGCGCCTATATTCTTCGAGCCGCCTTACTCTTCGAACCCATTCTGATTTGCCAACATTTTATGAAATAATGATTGAAAAGTATCGAAAGGTTGAGAGCGACGGATTGGGAGAAGTCACCTTGTGAATAAAGTACTAATTAGTATGGGGGAATTCAACGGATCACTTGGACAGAGTTAGATGATTGAATGATAGTTAATTGCAGATGTGGATCTGGATTATAGATACCAAGAGTTGAAAGGGCCTATCTATAAACAGGACTTCCTACGTGTCAAAAAATAGGACACAAGTTTTATTTGGATGTGCTTAAAGCAAGGATGCTGGAGCTCGGGCGGTAATGATGATTATGAAGACGTAACAGGGGGGCAAGACTGAACACCTGTACGCGGTGTCCTCTACGAACCTGGGAGTGAAATATTCTCCCAGAGCCAAGTTCAGTCAAACTTCGCAATACCGAAAAAGTTGGCCCACGAGGCAATGATCCAAATTACTCTACCACGTCAAATTTTCACTCCCAACGAGATCGATTCTCAGCAAAGCTTCATCAAGTTTACAAGTACGACCTAGTACATCCTCATTCCGATGACCACACCTCTTTTCGACTTTCTCTATCCTTAGCTGGTCGCCAGATACACGCCCACGCCGATATTTATACCTGACGGAGGAGGCAAAGCGTGGCGCACAAATCTGGAAGACAATTCCTTGGGATGGATGTGAGAGGGATCAGGACGATTTGACAAGATGATGCAAAGCAAGGATACAACCTCGACGGGCGTGTCATTTTGAATTTTGGCAAGAGTTTTACAAATTGAGCTTTGTGCGCGCCAAGACTTCGCTTGCGAGAGTGCAGCTGACACTATTAACGCAAGCAAATGATGAATGGTGTTCTCCGCTATAGATTGAGTAGCCTCGGCAACTACTACATTTAGGAAGGAGACACCTATCACCTTATTTTGCGCGGAGAAAAGTTAATGGATGATAGAGGCATATCTGGATAACTAGGGATTTTTGAGACGTTCCCCTGGGTGGCCATTCACGGCTGAGGGTTGAGTTGGGGTGAGGAAAAAGCCGCCATAACTTCGCAGTGATACTTGTAAATGAAATCCGCGGCATGAGTGCTCTTCCTTTGTATTGAACCATCTATTATGTACTTTTCTCTGATATTATGTCATAGCTAGATAGCTGCAAACGCAATTAAAATCTGATGCAAAAAAATGAAATTTAGATTTAGTCAGCTTGGATACTTGGGTTTATTCATCGGTTCTAACAACCTGGTTTTTTGAGGATTTGCTTAGTTGTAATTCTCTACCTAATATTAGTAACCTTTGATAATCCGAGCTTCGATTAATCTACTTGTCTTTTCGTACTTAATTTGTACCTTCGTACCTTTGATACTTTGTCTTCATCGTAACTAACTCGACCTCTGCGGCTTAACAGCCTCGAAAATCTGCCGACAAGTAGATCCATAACAGGCACCAAACTATGATACAATATCAGGAACAAGGCAAAGAATAGATGACTCAATACACATACTGAGCACTCATGCTTCGGATTTTAATTGCAAGTACAAAGATTGGAATTTATTTGGTGCAGAGTATTTAATCAATATCTCGTAGGCCAACTTCTTTGATATTGCGAAATCTGACTCTTTTTTTTTTAATCATTTAATGTGTATTCAGCTACCTAGCTATGACACATGACAGGTGCTATGTATACATGTTGGATGACTCTTTTGACGTTAGAGACACTCATACTCTGGATTTCATTCGCAAATACCACTATGAGGTATGTTCGCTTACACAAACAGTCGACCCTCCTCCGTTAGTACCCACCAAAGGGAATTTCAAAACCTTTGGTTATCCAAGCATGCCTTCGTCATCCATGCATACTAGCGCCGCGAGAAATGTAGTTGTGTTTTGCTGCATTTGAACCAGCGATCTACTGTCTCAAGTAGGATATGTGTCCAAGCTATCCAGACTCTACTTGGCAGACCGGCTAAGACGATGTACCACTGCACCATCCAACCATGGCCATGGTTATAGTGTCGCCTGCACTCTCGCAGCCGAAGACTTGGCACGCACAAAGCTCAATTTGTAAAAACTCCTTGCCAGAATTCAAAATTCCATGCCCGTCGAGACTGAATCCATCCTTCGCATCATCTTGTTAACTTGTCCTGAACCCTCTCACGCCATTACCAAAGAACTGTCTCCCAGATTTGTGCGCCACGCTTTGTGTCCTCTGTCGGGTATAAATATCGGCGTGGGCGTGTATTTGGTGACCGGCTGAGGCCAGAGAAAGTCGACAAGAAGTGTGATCATTGGAATAAGGATGTACTAGGTCGTTCTTGTAGACTTGATGAAGCTTTGCTGAGAATCGATCTCGTTGGGAGTGAAAATTTGACGTGGTAGAGTAATTTGGATCATTGCCTCGTGGGCCAACTTTTTCGGTATTGCAAAATTTGACTGAACTTGGCTCTGAGAGAACATTTCACTCCCAGGTTCGTAGAGGACACCGCGTACAGGTGTTCAGTCTTGCCCCCCGAAATCTGACTCATCTTGACTTGTGGAGAATATTTCGCTGCTAGCTTCGTAACGGACGCCATGGATAAATGTTCAGTCTTTATTCTCCCAAACGAGAGGATCAAATTGGATGGAATTGATTAATTCAATGTATTAGGCTGAAGCCTTACACCCAAAAAGGTCGACACGGATGCATGTTCCCGGAGGATTCTCTGCAACCACTGATGCTGGCTATATCTGGCAAGAAATTTACATGGTTGAAACTCCTAAACACCAAGACAAATTTTAGCTGCTCTGACCTGACAACTTGCGGCTAACCAACTTTTTTTTCATAATTTACCTGCGATACCTGTTTTCCTGGTCATACTTTAACCCTTCGGTAGAGCTATGTTCAGCGTAGCAACTCGTCACGGTTAGAAATCGGTAAAATTTCTACCCTCCATTCTCTTCCAACATTGGCCTTCCATCGGGCGCTGTTTCTTGCATTGAGTTTCACCATTGTTGTAGCGCTAATTTGCATTCCGAGAAAATCCGGGGACATCTTTCTCGGCCACACATGCATCAACCGACTATTCCTTCATGATAAAACCTCCCATGATAACAAATGAAGTTTCCGTGACCAATTCTAGCTGCTAATAGATGGTGATACGCCCAACTTGGTAGAGCCAGTCCTCCTGGGATCAATTCGATATTGGCTGGTTGGTCTCTAATGTTTGGATAAACCCAGACACAGTGAGCAAACTACAAGGAATCATAATTCTAGAACCAATGTCGTTATCTATTGTGATCAGCGATTCCTTGGACTATGCATGTATTATTCACGCAACTCTCTGGTCTAACCTTCAATTCTGTCTTCTAAAATTTGAATCACCATTATAGCCTCTGTAGGAGTAACTCTAAATATTATTTCATCTTAGCTATAATGTTACTTGGATCCAATCTGACTGACTCGCAAATTTAAAATGAGAATAATTTTTTCATTCCAAGCTCGTCTGAATCGTATCAGCAGAGTGATACATCATAAAGTTAACTATTTCCAAGAAGAGAATTGAAATCCACCCTGTCAGTCGCTCACACTTTAGAACGTTTCTCTCGTAGTCTAATTCAGCATAGAAAAATTATCTAGAGAACTACTTCAACTTGAACGACAAAGACTTGATTGGAAACTTTCCAAAAGTTCTCTGGCAAAACGTTGCCATCCTCAACTCAACCCGACCATGATATCCTGCGCTTTTATTTTTATATTAAGATTTCTAAACCCAAATAAACCTCTGGAAAAAGATTCGACTGTCTCTTCTCAGTACTTGGAACATCTAGTCATAATCGGTAGCGATGGCGGTAGGTCATTTTATGCCGGTTACGACCATCTCATGCCGAACGGGTTCCCGGTACCCGATTTAGAATATGATTTATTTGCGACCTTCTCAAATAAAGTTGAAGTGGGTACAAATACAAGGGCTTACTGCTCAAAAACTATTTCGGCTGTGAAAATTGCAGAGATACTCGACGATATCGTGAAGACTGACAAACAACACAACCAAGGTCTTGTACCCACTGATCCGAAGGATCAATCTTGTTTGGACTACATGCAAAAATTATTGATTGATCAAGATATGGGTTTCAAACAACCTCTGATATCGGCAACGACTCTAAGTCAGGAAGATAAATGTTCGAGTAATAACCTTATCCGCTTGGCTTATCGGGGTTTGATATCGGTATCAGGAGCTTTTGATTTCTTCGCTCCACAAAACGACAAAGCACAGTTGACGGTAGTCATGGACAAACCTACCAGCCTGGTGAATTTAATGTATACTTCTGATCTACATGGGATATACATAGAAAGGAATTCCAATACACTGCTCCTTTGGTACTTTGGCCGTCTTCACATTTTTAAGAAATATCCGAAAAGCCCAGTATGGTACCCAGTGACGCAAATTGGTTCAGAGAAACAAAATAGTGCGGCTATCCTAAAATTTATTCGCAATTACACCGGCATGATCCAAAAAGTCGACAAAGCTCTTCAGGAATTGGGATCATCAAATGGATTAGTCGAACTTTGTCGATCAATTTTCTGCTGGGCCGAATGGGAACGAACGAATGATATCCAAGTGGCTCATATAAGTAGCGTAGAGCTTAGAAATTATCCTGACACTGGTATAAATATTTAAAAAAAAGTATATCTTTCAAACAGAATGCTGGGGCGTATTGTATCAGTTATATGAAAGCTTTACTTGGATCCACACAGACACCGACTACGCCCCAAGCCGACAGCTGAAACAGATTGTGCGAGCTCGGACATAAGGTTTCTGTCAATGTACTCTATCTTTTATTGGGTCACTTAATATGTATTTGTAAATATGGATGGCTTATCTTAATTCTGATCAGATCACTTAGATTCTCTACCCAGATGCCATGAATGAGAATGTCCACAATTTGAACATACGCCCTCAGATCAACTAGCATGATAGTACAACCTTCAAGCCCATGCCATTTACTTTTCTTGTAAGACACAGCTATGAAAGTAGGGCTGATTATTATAGGATATAAATCCAATCATAGTATTTATGTTACTGTTTGACCGCTATTAGAGCTTAGGTGAATACCTAAGCGGATTGTTGGGAATATTTACAACTAAGCGGCACTGCTAGTCAGGAGGTCGAAGCGTTACTACAACTAAGTAACACCTGGCAATGCGTGGCTGGGTAGCAAGTATTGTGCCTAAGGATAAGTCATCAGTCTGGAGATTGACGAAGGGGACCAATTCTTATAAATACCTGTTAGTCGTAGCTAGAGTTCTCTTTTCTCCTCATATAGTTTAATAAATCGATTTATTCACAACCAACTCGGTTTCCGTCACAATTTAAACTATATCTATCACATTCTTTGCCCGTCATTAAGTATATCGCAGCCTTAGATAACTGTGACTTAGGGCATCTTTAACTATTGGTTTCAACGCACAGGGATTCGAAGAATCAACAATGGGTTCAAATATGAACAATTTTAACATCGGAACGGACTCTATGGCAACTGGTTTATCGAATCATGAATCTATGCCACATGGAGAAATACAATCGGAAATGCAGCGACTGGTCGAAAAAATGAGATTAAGAGGAATGGAACACAGAAGAGACCTTGCAATACTACGATCTCAGATGAACGAAATGATGAAAACGATGCAGGAACGATTGGAGAATAAGAAAAAAACTCCCCTGCAGCCGTCAAGAGCTAATGTGGGAGGCCAATCAGAACGCAGAGAATGTTTCATAGAAGAGGAACCACTTAAATGGCCAGAAGCATACGACCACAAGGATAGAACTAAGTGGGCAATTACACACGGGATACTTCGATACATATACAGGCGCGATGTAGAGGAGCGGAATATTCTTCAACCGTCTGACTTTTCAGTGCAATTATTTAGTCATGCAGTGACTGGAACAGCGAAAGATATGATTACAGGTCAGTTTCAGAGTATGCTTGCAAACGGTATGGAATGGGATGCACTAGGGCTATTACGGGCTATTACGGGCTATGGATAATACCTATCGCGACAGAAACGAGGAACAATTGGCGGCCGCACTATTTCATGCATGCCGACAATTCCGGGACGAGAACCTATCGTCATATCTACCGCGCTTCCAGCAGTTACTCTCACGAAGTCCCAGTTCGAAAGAGAAAGAGAAATGCAAGATCTACTTGTTGCGAAACTCGCTGAACAAGACGACGAGAAATTACATGATTGGCAGTTTGCACCCTAGAACACTTCGAGAATTAATTGATTACCTGTCGATCCTGGGTTCTGAAATTGACGAGGTTGGTATAGAAATGACAAGGGAATACCTGCTAGGTCAGACTGGTTACTTCGACGACGGAACACGAGGCGTTGCTGGGGGTAGATTACTAGGGGAGGTCTCACAAGAAATTACGCACCACCTTTCATCCAAAGTCAGCTTGCACAGTAAGGATATGGACAGCAATACAAGAACGATCGGTGTTGATAAAGTCCGTGCGAAGTGGGTATCATGTGTTGAGTTGAATGGGCGCAAAATAGATGGCTTATGCTTGCGATGTGGAAAGAAAGGACACGTCATAGCTAATTGTCGATTGCTTCCTGCTAAGCATCCTGAAATACCTGTCCAAGCTGCAAAATTCGACGTAAAAATTGCAGATACAGTTAAGGCCAAAGTTATGAAGAACATGGTTGCAAAAAGATTAGCTCCCAAATCAAGTTGTCCTCAGGCGCAAACAAATGGAGCTATGAAAATGGTTAGTAGCTCAAAATCAATTGGAGATAAAGAAGCAGAGAGCGCTATGAACGGATCTTCTTTCATTATAGACACTGTGATTAATGGAATTTATTCAGTACCCACTTTGATTGACAATGGATGCGAATGCCTAGCCGCCGTTAGTAATTCATTAGCAGATAGAGCGAACTTAACCCGGATAAAAATAACTCCACGCAAGCTCACAGAGGCAACGAAAAATCACCACCACAAAGATTTTATCACGGAAATGGTTAACATGGAGCTAGACATTGATGGGTATCAACGAAATTTATATGCGTATGTTATACCAATGTTGTCTCATGATGTTATATTGGGAAAACCATGGATGGAGCGTGAAGACGTTATTTATAATGCAAGGGAACATTTCATGGACATTGGAGAAGCAATTGTGAACGATCGACCATTGAGGGTATGGGAAAAAGGCCGACAGCCAATGGTGAATTCGCCCTTTGAAACAACAAATATCAAAAGTTTGTCGGCAGGGGTATTTCTTGCAACGGTCAGGAAAGCCAGGAAGTCAAGCGCTGGCACAGCTCGGCTATTTTCTGTAACGCTGGCAGATATTCAGAAAGCGCTTGCGCCATCAAAGAAGTCTCCTACAAATTTGGATAAGCTTCCAAATCACTGTAAGGAATTTGCAGACCTTTTTCGGAAAGAGTTAACTGACAAGCTGCCACCTCATCGGCATGGATGTGACCACGAGATAAGGCTTGAGTCTGACAAGAATATACCATGGGGACCCCTGTATGGAATGTCAAGGGATGAGCTACTAGTGCTAAGGAAGACACTGACAGATCTTCTTGATAAGAATTACATTCGAGCGAGTAGTTCACCAGCAGGGGCCCCTGTATTGTTCGTTCGGAAACCAGGTGGAGGCCTGCAATTTTGTGTAGACTATCGCGCCTTGAATACCATTTCAAAAGCCGATCGCTATCCCTTACCGTTAATTAAAGAGACGCTTGCTAAGCTGAGTAGAGCTAAGTGGTTCACGAAGCTGGACGTGCGATCTGCGTTTCACAAGTTGCGTATCAAGGAAGGTGACGAATGGAAAACAGCTTTTCGAACACGATTTGGATTATTCGAGTGGCTTGTCATGCCGTTTGGATTAAATGGAGCTCCGGCATCCTTCCAGAGATACATTAACGAAGCTTTACGTGAGTACCTCGACGATTTCTGCTCGGCTTACGTAGATGACGTACTTGTATTCACCAACAGGGACAAAGAGGAACACGAAAGGCACGTGCGATTGGTTCTTAAAAAGCTTCAGAAGGCAGGACTAGGATTAGATATTGACAAGTGCGAGTTTAGTGTTAAAGAGACTAAATACTTGGGCTTCATCATATCTTCTGATGGTGAGAATTCTGCAGTCAAGATGGATCCTGCAAAGGTCCAGGCAATATCGGAATGGAAGGCACCCACAACGACAAAAGGACTAAGAGGATTTTTAGGGTTCGCCAATTTTTATCGTGGCTTTATCAAGGGATTTTCAAGAATCTGTGCACCTCTAACTTCTCTGACAGGCAAGGGTACACCTTGGAGGTGGGGCTCTGAACAAAATGATGCATTTGAATTGCTCAAGGAAAAGTTCGTTGCAGAGCCTGCTCTGGCCCAATGGGATCCCGACCGCGAAACAATGTTGGAAGCAGATTGCTCCGGTTATGCCCTTGGTGGATGCTTGTTACAGAAGCAAGAAATTGGCCTATGGAAACCTGTGGCATACTACTCTCGGAAGCTGACTGGGGCAGAAATGAACTATGAAATTCATGACAAAGAACTCCTAGCCATTGTAGCAAGTATGAAAGAATGGGACGCAGAGCTACGGGGCCTAGCACACGCTTTCACTATCCTAAGTGACCATATGAATTTGAAGTACTTCCTCACAACGAGGAGGCTGACAGAGCGGCAGACTCGATGGGCAGAATTTTTATCCCGATTCAGGTATAAACTCGTGTACAGGAAAGGGGTAGATAATGAACGGCCAGATGCACTCTCGAGAAGGGATCAAGATAGACCTATGGAAGGCGACCCACGACTCTTAAGCCGCGAGCGCCAGGTCTTAACACCAATTCATGCGTCAAAGTTGTGTATTAATGGCACTAATGTTGCAGAAGGCCATGAAATATTCGTCAACGAGGATTTACAGGAACTTTGGAACCAGGCGTTAAATAACGATGAAAGGTATATTCAGGTCGTAAATGCGGTTCGAAGTGGAGATCGCGCGTGGCCCAAGGACCTCAAATTTAAAATAGAAGGTTCGGACGAGCCAAGTCCAATTAAGGCGACGATCGCCGCTTGTGAATTTGACAATAGTTTCGGTGTAGTTCGCTACCAAGGACGGATATGGGTACCTTTATATGAGCCTCTAACAACTGCGCTTATCCAGAATACCCATGACTCAGCTGTCTCAGTTCATCCAGGGAGAGATGCAACGCTTGCCCAGGTCGCTCGTGAATATTTTTGGCCTGGAATAAGTAAAGCAGTCAAGCGGTTCTGTAAAAACTGTCATGTATGCGGGAGGTCATCAATCTGGCGACACCAGAAACAAGGGCTTCTTAAACCGTTACCAGTACCTGAAAGATTCCATCAAGAGCTTTCTATTGACTTTATGGTGGACCTTCCCAAATCAAATGGTGCAACAAACATCATGGTAATTACCGATAGATTGTTGAAATCAGTGACACTGGAGTCTATGGATAAGATGGATGCAGAATCTTGTGCTAAGCGATTTATAGAATGTCACTGGCGCTATCACGGATTTCCAAAGGCTTTAACTAGCGATAGAGGGACTAATTGGACAAGTAAATTCTGGAGAAGACTATGCGAAATGGTTGGAATTGAACAGAGGCTGAGCACAGCCTATCATCCTCAAACTGATGGAGCTACGG